CTTCTCTGGAATTCCTTCCCTGGAGCTTTCTCATTTCCTTTCTCTAAGTTTCTCCCAGCTACTTCTTATCTTTTATCAGGTGAACAGCATGATCAGAATGCAAGAATATTACTGAGAATCCACGAGTATGGTTGTATGTTTGTTCTAGTCAAATGAAAAAGTGAGGGCCAGTGAGGTGGCTCAGTAGGTTAAGACACATGTTGCCAAGCCAGATGACATTAGTTTGATCCCCAGGACTCATAGGTAGAAGGAGAAAGCCAACACCCAAAAGTTGTTTCCTGAGATTCATACACACAATCACATGCACAGAGCAAATAAACATAATCTTAAAAAAAGAAACGAAATAGAATCTGACCTCTTAATTTACAGATATGACTCTCATTCCCAAGGAACTTAGAACAAGTGGACACCAGAACTGATGCTTCTGCTTCCAGGTGTGAAATAATTGGGAATAAACATAGTAAAGCATACTTATGAATAAAACATTTCCAAAGATAATTAATTTTTTTAGACAGGATCTCATTATGTAGCCCTGGCAGGCCTTGAATTCACAGAGATCTGCCTGTCTCTGCCTCCCAAGTGCTGGGAACAAAAGGATGTACCGCCATGCCTAGCTCTGAAAGCTAATTAAAGAAAACTTAAATAAGTGGAACAGTTAGGAAGACAATGTCTGGGTAGTGAAATAAAGAGGCCCTAGTGTAAAAAAAAAAAAATGTTGTAGAGTTGGTCTCAGTCATCTTAAAAACAAGGCTCAAGAAGTTCAAAGGGACCGCCAAGTAACTCCAGTTACTGCGTGAGATAAATACAGAAAAAAAACAGCACCCTTAGTTGAATGACTAAGACAGAAAGGCCTGTCAACACCAAGTGTTGGCAAATATATGGAGCTACTAGAATTCTCTGATACTATTGATAAAAATTGTAAGCGGTCAAATGCCTTGGAAAATAACTTTCTTAGATTCTTCAAACATCTGCCTGCCATGTAATCCAGCCATTCTAACTTTGATATAGTATTTACTCAAAATAGGGGAATTTACATAAAAATTTGTATGTGGATATTTCTGGATAGACACATACTATGTAACTGTCTTGTAAATGTGTTTGAGAACAAATGGAAACTCCTTAATGTCATGATAAGGGTGGTAAAAGATACATGGTGGAAATACCAGGTATTAGAAAGCTGGGGTTGCAAAAACTGGAGAAGGCTGCCGTACAATGTGTCCTGCCCTGGACAACCTTTCAGAAACTGCTGTGGGAAGTTCAAGAAGGGGCTAGCATTTTTGTTTGTTTGCTTGTTTTGTTTTTGTTTTTGTTTTTGAGACAGGGTTTCTCTGTGTTAACAGCTCTGGTCATCCTGGAACTTGCTTTGTAGACCAGGCTGGCCTCTAACTCCTAGAGATCCACCTGCCTTTGCCTCCTAAGTTAAAGGCAGAACTGGCATTTCTGTTGTATATGCTACAACAGAAGGTGACCACAAGCAGTTGGTATTGTTTTAAGTATTATTTTCCTCAGTGCACACTTGTAATTCCAGCACTTGGAAAGATGAGGTAGGAGGATAGTGATTTGGAGGCCAGTCTTGACTGAACAGTAAGAGCCTGCCTCAAAACAAAATTAATATATATTTAATCTATATATTAATATATAGATTAATATATATGTAATATATATGTTATATATATATATATATACACACATACATATTTCACAGTTAAACACAACCTTCTAGCATCCATGCTTTCCTTACACACATCTTGCAAACCATCAGTACAGATGCAGCTACAAAGACTGTCATAACAAATATTGTTACAGTATCACCCTACTGAAGTTACTTCAATGGCTCCTGCTGCC